GCATACCTGTGTGACTCATACGCAGTATGTCCACGCAAAAAGCACGCTAGCACATATAAAAATGTGTTGAATAAACAAATGGGAAAAAAAATGCCGACGATCCAAAAAATCGATTGGATAAACATACAGAAACGCCTTTCGAATAGGTGGAGTTGTGAGCGTGTCACACTCTGTCATTTGCCGTGCATTGGTTGGAAGAGTGCGACCGTATGTAGCATCGTTCGTTCGTTTATTCGGGTTTTTGTAGTGGAGAAACGATGATCCACAACACATTTGTTGTGCGCACGATTCAATGCTACGACTGTGTACACAGCATGTGTTATATTTTTTTTCGTCGATTCATTTTCATCCTTATGCAAAAGTATATAAAATAACTCTTTTGGTTATGGAACCACAAAAAAGCGACAATTTTGATTTTTGGCTAGGCGCACACAAACACACACACACACACATATGTATATATAGTCATAAACTTTGGGTGGTTGATTTTTCTATTCTACTCGAAATGGTTGAAGGAAAAATCAATTTTTCCCTTGATAACGAACCTACTTTTTTACGACATTGCTGTGGAAAAATAGAGAAAAAAAAACGACCACCGAACCTCACAACACCAACCCAGGAAAGAAAGCCTAATGGCCATCACATGTAACTACAGCAAAGTTTCATCGCCACGCATCAAATAAATGCGGTTCAGTGTATTATACACAGTGACGCCGCACATTTTTCGAAGAAGGCTAATGTTTTAATTACATTTCTCAAGCGAAGCGAAAAATAGATGGAAAAGAAAATGAATTTCTTCTGATTTCTGAATTGTTATTTACTCTAGGAGGAAAGAACTGAGTAAATGAAAATATAAATATTGTAAATAATCGCATATTCTACCGAGTTTGGATCAATACGAGTCAATGCGTGTCAATGCGCTGAATAACTAGCTGCGAATGCATGCAAATATGGTCAATAAAATGTGCGTATTTGCAACTGTCATTCCTGCTCGCCACGAACGAGACGAAGCAACAGAAGAAAACAACAACAATAACACTACGGAACGCAGTGCAAATGCCTGTGAATATTTGTCAATACGTGTCAATGAAGTAAATATACCAATAGTTCTTTCCCCCTAGTATTTACAATAAATAGTAAATTTACTATAAATAAAGTTCAAGTACTTTTTTTGCGAGTGGGCTGAACGTTCTTACTTGGTTAAATTCTTTCTATTTCTGTTTATTCTTTTGCTTTTCGAAAGATTCCATAATACCTTGAATCTTTACTAATAAATGCTCAGAAGTTAAATTTAACTTATCACTGTTATTCAATTCATTGGGATTATATACTAAGTGTCTGAGCATTTATTAGTAAAGATTCAAGGTATTTTGGAATCTTTCGAAAAACAAAAGAATAAACAGAAATAGAAAGAATTTAACCAAGTAAGAACGTTCAGCCCACTCGCAAAAAAAGTACTTAAACTTTATTTTTAGAATTGAAAAGGAGTACTCGGAAATGATGGAATCATCGAATTTTCGATAAAACCGAATATTCTACTATGATCAAAACTACAAGTGGTCATTTAGTCTGTACATATCGTATAACGGTTGATGGTTAAAAATCGCATGCGCCACGATAAGACTTCCAAAAATCACATTTGCACATACATAACGAAATCTCACATACATGCATTTCGCAATCATCCGAATCAATGATGAAAAATGCTTGAAAAAGAACGATTTTCGTTGCCGCTTTCGGTACACAAATCGCACCAACAACCGTGCGTAGTGGAAAAGCCAACGCCACAAATACAAATACCTCTCTCTATATATATATATACATAACGGCAACGGCACAAAGTGTTTCTGCAGCCGTAGCAACATTTTTGTGTCGAGCTCTATGGGCAAAATGAAGAGAGTGTCGGCTGCAAGGAGCGATAAGGATTGAATGCAGTACATAAACGAAATAGACGCCGAAATTGCTGTCTGAATGCTTCGGCATGCCAGAGAGGAGCGACAGAGAGATCGTTGAGCATCAGCATCGTCGTCATCGTCATCGTCATCGTCATCGTCATCGTCATCGTCATCGTCATCGTCATCATTTGCTTGGGTATCATCGTTATCATTGGTATGGATTGTATATAGTCGGTGCCATAGCATTTTCATCCCTCGCGTTGATGATTCGCTCAATTCCACAGTTTTTTTCCTTCTCTGCCCGTTTTTCGATATTGTTATTGCCATGATATCTTATGCGTCGTGTGCGAGAGAGCATTGCGAGTACATAGTCATCTGGTGAAATTAGTTTGTGAAATCATTTTGCTTGGAAAAATGCGCGGAAGCGGTTCTTTTTTTTCGGTATCTCGCTCTCGATTTGACATGAGTGTATGTGTATTGTAACATAGCATAACCATTTACGTTGTCAATATTTCAAAGGCACGAGCCGCGAATCTGTGTGTACCACGAAATGTTTCACCTGTTAGTCCATGTTATTGCCATTTCAATTTGTTTATTCACGAAATATCACGACGAATAAAGTTTTATTGAAGTGAGTCGGACGGGCGTCTCGACGCAACAGTATACACACAATACACAACTGTAGCGTAGAGCACACAGCACATCGGAAAGCGGATGATGAACAGCTATCGTTGTCAAGTTTAATAGATTTAATTATACACATTATTGATAGGTTCGTAGTTTTGGCCTACTTAACGCGGCTGGGCTTTTAACAATTCAAATTGTTTTATATCGAGCGAGTGAGCGCGCGCACGTGCATTTTTGGGTGCCATGCCCATGTATGTATTTCGTTTGTGTAATGTTAGTTCGTATACGTCCATTGATTGGATTCCGAGTTAATTAAATTTGTCGTTGTTAGTTCGATTGATGAGTGTTTGCGTGTGCTTTTTATTTGAATTAGTGATAATTGTGGCAATGAACTAAATAAATTCATGGAAAATCGATTCATCGTCGTCGTCGTCGTTGTCGGTATCGTCAACGAAAGTGAACAAAAGTTTTCGTCCATACTTTGAATATATTCGAATCAGTTCAAACTCATGTAAAATATCGCCTGAATGAGACGAATTAAGCAGCTGCCGAAATAAGATTCCGATTAATTTTCCGCACCTGTCACAAATACACCAGCCCAATAAAAAAAAAAATACCAGCGACGAAGAATTTCTACAACGTAATCAAAGCAACTAAGCGGCTCTAGGCAACTGTTTATTTTCGTTCTTCAAAATCTAATAAAAATGCCTGGCATGGAATGAAACCGCCTCTCGATTACTTCCACTGCGGTGATTTTTCTCATTTTGGGCTGAAGAGCGCACTTTGTAAACGCAATTTTAACCACATGTGGTAAAATATATATTAAACACTCGAACAAGCACAAAAGCCGCACGTATGCAGATTTTCAATAGATTTTTCAAGTGTGCCATTGGTTTTATTTTCGAAAGAAAGGACATTCGCAGCACAAGTGCAAATTGCAATGAAATTGCTCTTTTGACTTTGGACGAAAACAATGTGTCGCACCCCTTTTTGTTTGCACAAATTCAATGAACCATTGCGCATAGTGTCAATCGCTTGTAATGAATACAATTTTATTGGGATATCAATTACCACTTTAAAATCTATGAGCAACAGATTTTTATTATCCTCCACTAGCCCACTTACAGTTTAAGCCCATTCAACGACTAGAAGTAATCGGCATGTTCCAATTTTCTTTTTATATTTATCTCTGTTTGTGGCAAAAATCAATGAACTCGATAAGTAAAAATCGTAAATAATCGCAACTATTGCGGTAGAATCAGCTGTGGCACTACGGTACATTCACTTGTAATTATAATTAGAGCGTTAATAACCTTTACCCAAAAAAAATAATCGAAATCAAAATTGATCGAAAGAAAATCTCGAAGAAAATTAACTATCGGCGTCCATTCAAGTGAATGTAATGAACAGTTAACGATCGATTTTTCGTAATTGCTTCCAGTTGAACTTTCGCGCGGGAATTGTAAAATTTTCATCGAGTGAAACGAGTGTTTTGTAGCCGTAATTAAAAAAGCGGCACTTTTGAGTAGTGTACATGAGCAGTTGAAGTGATTGCCGAAAAAACCTAGCTAAGCTAAATACATCATCGATCAAAGTGTCAACACCTTTTTCTTTTCCATTAGTTCGTGTGTGTGTGTGTGTTTGCGGCCGATTTGAACCAATTCGCTTCGTAAATCTTGTAATCAAGTGTAATTAGCCCGTTTGCGTGCAACGAAACTTTGGCTCCGACCATTCAATTCAATGTTCTAAGCTCAACACAGCCATTGAAACTATATTTTGGCCACACACCAAATCTCTGTTAATTCACACTACTCGTTTCGTTTCTGTTTTTCTTTGTTTCCTTCACATCAGACCATTCGTCGTCTTACATCACAAAATCTGATGCGATGAACTCATATTTCAGCCTTTAAGACGCAAATTATTGTTCACTAATTCAATTCAAAACGGTTCGCATTCGAATTCGTGTGTTGATACAAACAACTACATGATATTTTGTGTATTCGGTAATAAAAAAAAACAACATCGTTTTTTTTCTCACTTCGCACTTCTCATTGTGATGAACGAAAAGGTGAAACAACGAATTGGCTCTATTTTTGGGCTATGAGTATATATATATGCTTTTCGCCAATAAAACATTCATTTAAATCTCATTAATTCTAATTAATGTGCTTAAATCTATAATTTAAACTGTCATCATGGTGATTACTTACCTATTTCGATGATGTACTCATTCTGCAACGATCCGAAAATTTACCATTTTTTTTTTCTTCTGTCAAACATTCATTGCACACATTCGGACATTCATTTCTGTTCCTGCGATCGTTAGTTAGTCTTATCAACGTCAGTTGGACAGAAAGATCTATTCCCATCTTTTAAGTGTAAAATTTAACAATAAATCAGAACAGAATTGTATTATTGCTTCGGTAGTTATGAAAGTGTTCTAAAAATTACCAAAATTAACAATAATATTTTCCGTTTCAGTTAAAAATTTAGTCATTCGCTGTCGAGATAAAACCCTGCCTTTGCAATGTGGGGCAATACGTTGGGCTCTGGGTAAGTTGCAATGCGTTTCATTTTAGAAATAAATAAATCGTTTAAATTATACAAAAAAAGCATTCAATTCCTACAAATATTGATCTATTGATCGATAAATATATCATCAATACGCCCTTCTAACGATTGCCAATGAGAATTCCTTTATTTTACCAATTCGACTGCATTTCTCTTCGTTTGACCGCCTCAAATTTCTTATCTAAGCCTTTTCAGAATGCAATAGAATTTCCAATTCAAACAAAAATTCTCGGATCGAACTATGGTTTGGTCAGCCTCCTCACGCGATGTCGATGACAAATACGCATTTTGTGAGCGCATATGTAGTATAATTCTAGCAGTGACAATGAAAAATAAAATGTCAACGCTAAGCCATTTAAATACCGTCTTAAACAAATCATAAAAAGGAATAGATTGAAAATGCCAATAAGAATTAGTAAGCAATGGAATGAAAAAAGCATGGACAAGTTGTCTGATTGCTTTGTGTGTGTGTGTGATTTGTTTATGTTTATGAAAATGCATCGCGGAACTACAAAACAGTGGCCATTGTAAAAGTTATTACTTTATTTGTTATTTATAGAGGTGATCAATTTTATCTATAAAAAAAATTTCTTCTTGTTGTTGTCGGTTTCGGAAGTGGATTTTAAGGCGATTTAGATTTTTTCTCTCCACCAATGATTCTCGAAACGCCAACCACGAAATTTTATGTGCGTGGATGAAGATTTTTCCAGATTAAATACGACGAAAAGTGGTGGTATAACATGGCCATGCCGTAAATGTTCGATAATTATATGTAGATTGTCTTTGGGCAGCAATCAACACGAACAAATCATTGCTGGAATGTGTCAAATGCATTTTTATTGCATGTTAAAGATAAAGTTGAAATACGAAAAACGAAGAAAGAAATTGAAAAGTTAAGTTCGAGTTTCTTCCGTCTTTGAAATTTTACGGCTTCACACTTCTAACACGGTTGAAACGGTAACTGCCATGCCATGGTGATAATAAAATCAGATTAGAAAAAAAGCAGTGACAAGTTCTTGTAAGATTATCATTGCTATGCCATAATGAATTTCCTGTTGAAAATGTGAATTTCCCATCATCTGTTCAAATTAATATCATCGGTTAATCAAATGGAAATCAAAGGATGCACAAATCTGTTTAAAGTATTAAATTTTTGTCTAAATGAGTCGTCCCTTAGTTGCACACCGAATTGCTGATTGCCCATTAAATTCCACGTGATGAGTTATCACACAGCCGCTCTTTATTTCCAGTAGCACACATTTGCACGTTTAGCGATAAAATCGCTCGTGCAAGTTGAAAATAAACATTATGAATTGCGCGTGCTCGCATCCACCAAGCGATATATGTGTCTATGTACATTATAACCAGCTAATTAAAACATATGCCAAATGTCTCTCTTCAGTTTGTCGATGCACCCTTTTTTCTGTCTCTCTCTCAATCGCTGCCATTGTTTGATGTCCGTGCGCACATCTGTCGTGCGGCGAGAGCCGGTAAAATACGATCAATTACCGCAGCTATTCCGCCGAGAATCCACTTTGAGTGCAATACTGATAATTGAAATAATGAATGGCATTTAACAGGCATAAAATGATTGGAATTTAAGATAGACAAAAACTTGATTTTTCTTTGTTTTTTTTCGAGAAGCGGGAGATGCGAGCTGAGTACTTCGATTGATGTAAACGATTCTTATCATTGTTAAAACCGTAGAACGAATTTTCATTTGAATTCAACAAATGCGCCGCTTAACATAACAATCCACGTATGCCAATTTACTAGTTTCCAACCCACCTACACAACAAACATTGCTCAAACTCATTTAATGTATTGCACGCATTAAGGCAACGGGGGAGACGAGAAAAGTTTATTTTTGTATTCAATTCAATTCGTTTTGATGTTTTTGTACTCATTTATTCCCCTTCATTTACTCAATTTCTGGTCACAGTATTTCCTGTAAAGCGATTTATTGTCATAGCATCGCAATTATGTCGATACATAGTATTCCGAGCTTTTTTCTGTATGAGCACTTTACTCCTTTTCAGTCGCTAAATCGAATCGAAATGCCATGGAAACACAGCTCGATAAATCGAAAAATCTTCGGCATGCCGAACTTATTAAGATAATTACTTTCAAATCGCTTCCCTTTTACCTTAATTAAATGAAATAAATGTTTTCGCATTGTCGTATTGATCTCATAATGAAATAGATAAACAATGAACGAGTCCGATTTCAATTCCGATGCGTGCATTGATTGCTTCCTACCAGCCAAAGGATTAACGTTCTCACTCATTCCGCCTTCTCGCTCCGCACATCACTATTTCATTTTTCGTCTCTCCGCCAAATGCAATTCGGATAACGTTTGAGTTTCACTCCGTTAAACAAATTTCGATTACAGCATTTCCATAGGGATTAATCGCCTGCCAAGACACGCATTTAATTCGTACAATTGATAATGCCTTCTAGGCTCTTGTTGTTATGTATCGCGTAATATAGGGAAAGAAATTCATTGGGACAACAGCAACATGCTTTTGCCAAACAGAGTAATATACAGAATTTCACCATTGATCGAAATGAGGACTGCCTTTCTCTGTTTTGCGGGAACGAAGCTGTTTCATTTTCATTTAATTTATGTAAGTTGTTTTATGATATGATTTTTTTTTTTAAATTTTTCAGCTGTCCACCGGATGACTTGGGATTTCCATCATTCGCAGCAGCAGCAGCCGCCTCAGCAAATACACCAGCGCCATTTTCAAGTATGCCTTACCTCACAACATCGCCATATCTAATGGTTGATCCCCTGCACTCGATGGGATATTCAGCCGCAAGTGAGTAACAATTATTTTTCTTTCATTTTAAATAAATTCTTCAGTGTTTTCAATTGTCTAGTCGTTTTATGTTCTGATGCTGTTGTCAAGTTGATTCACCGAATTGTTTTCTCATTCAATTCGAATTTCATGATGACAATGCAATTGAAATTTTCCATTTGCTTGCAATTTTCGCCGAATAAAAATATGGGCTATTGAAGAAACACGCGGATATAGATTGTTGTTTACGTGTGTGTCCCGTTTCGATTTGCGGTGCAACAGTGCGCCAATTAGTAGTCACAACAATGGCCACAACGGTTGTATGCAATTCATACGCAAAAACGCCCCGCAGTTGTTTGTTTTGGCATTAACTTATTTCTTCTCTCATCCCGTACCACACTGAGGCGATTACAACGATTGTTATTGGACGCATGCATCGAGCTAGCTCATCATGCACTTACACGCGGCCGACTTTTAGAGAAAACATTGCGCTTAAGTGAATAGGTTAATGTTTGCCGGTCGTTTATCGACATTCGGTACACTTTGGTGCATTAACAAGTTTATTTTTCGCTCGCTGTCGATAGAGTTGTAGACAGTTTTTTTTTTTAAAAAGCCCTACTTATTCGCACACCCAAACAAACACAATCGGCACGTGTGTTAAATTAAACGATTAGCCGGGTTGAGAAAAAAAAAATACACAGACCACGATACCAAATGAACTCATCGTCGTAAACAGTAGCGGCTGATTTGACAAAGACGGCAATTTATATGAAGTGATTTTGATCGAAAAAATGTGGCCGCAATACACCTCCAAAACAGATTAGTCGATAGAATGATGTTTCAGATTTTTATGCAGGAAAAAATAACACATAAAAATTCAAGACAGACAATCCTTTTTGCATTTACACCGCTAAAAACCACTAAAAATTAGGATCTCGCTGTCAACGGCGAAAACGATCTGGATGCATTCACTTTTATTGCTTTTTTTGCAAATGAAAGAGGAAAAAAATCATCCCTATTTTATTACGTCGATCGTAAACTGTCAGCTTTACTGATGCACTTTATGATGATGTTTGTCCGATTTGACTCAACCGTCGGATTGTTTATCTCTTCTTTCGCTTAGATTGACCACTTTTATCTCAAGATTTGCGATGAAACCGAGCCAAAACGAACACAAGAAACATTGCAACCGTCAATAATGTTGACATCTAAATGTATACACAAATACAGCAAAAAAAAAACTATTTTTAGGCAGATGTTCGATTGGTCATCTCACCAGAATTCCTTTTGTATAACGACCTTGTCAGTACGCAAAATGTGATAACGAAAAGATTATTTCAAGCTTTTTAAAGTAACTTAGTTCCAATTGAAAATGGTGTGCATGTGTCTAGACTTGTGAAACACTTTTAAAATGTTGCTTGTAATCTTTCTGTGTTGTCAATAAAATCCTTCAAAGTGTTCATGAGTTCATTTGGTTTAGTTTGTGTGAGTGTTTGTGTGTGTGTACAAGCTAAATATATTCCATCATTTTTGCAGCAAATCAAAGAAAACAACGACGAGAACGAACCACATTCACTCGTGCCCAACTCGACATATTGGAGTCACTGTTCAGTAAAACACGTTATCCGGATATTTTTATTCGCGAGGAAGCTGCACTAAAAATCAATTTGCCCGAGTCTAGGGTTCAAGTGAGTAATAAATTGTTTTCATCTCTATTCTCCATTTCTTTTTTTTCTACTCCTCTTTTCATTAAGTCAAGCAAAAAGTTATTTGTGACAAAATACTTATTAAGAGTCTGGGCGTACTTATAAATATTGATTTTCTGTGTCGAAATAGTTTTTCGTTAAAACGACAACAACAAACACACAAAAAAAATGAAACAGCAGCAGAGTTCGTGCTATGAGTCCTGTTGGGAAAAAAAAATTCATGATCACGTACCAAAAAACGTGACCTTTCATAATGAATAAGCGAACACGAGTGTTAAATCTTTTAGCGACTGTTCCATTTGTGAGTGGATCGCTATGATTCGCATATGTTTCATGTGTAACATTGTTTTTGTTATTGTTGTTTTGCTGTGTGTGTGTGTGTGCGCCTTTTTCGTTCCATGCAGCTGTGCGTGCAGTCAATAATAACTATTTCATAATTTCATTAAAACTAGTCGTGTCATTCGGATTCAGACATGAATTTTTGTCGCCCTCATAAATTTCAGACCAATTTCATCATTACCCATAAATTATTTCGTACATGAATTTATTTTGATTTCAAGGTTTGGTTTAAGAATCGTCGAGCGAAATGCCGCCAATTGCAGAAACAAAATCAACAACAACAAACTAGCTCTTCGTCGGTGACTCAATCGACCACATCATCATCGGGTAATTTGCAATTACAGTTAAAGCTTTTGTTGATATAATATTCAGAGTGTTTTATATATATATGATTTTGTAGGAGTTGGCAAAATTAGAACGGTTCCAATGACAAAAATGAAAGCAAAAACAACGACCAGCACCTTGAATTGCAGCACAAATAGGTGAGAATATAATAGAAATGCCCGTTTTTTAAAACCATTAAATGGTTTATGAACAAATCTAATGTTGAAAATTGATTTCTTTTAAAGTCTTACTAATTCACAATCGACACCAACTCAATCGATTCTGCACGATTCTCCCAACAACTTCAGAATGCCACAAAACATTTTCTCGTCATCAACGCACACGGTAAAGAACGATAGAATAAAAAGATTTAAAAAAAATTGCGTATCTGGTAAATGACAAACTAAATCTCGTTTTGTGCTCAATTTATAGAATTTCCCGACCCTCTCCTCAAATAACAGTGGAAACTCAATTTGGTCTCCTACAATGCTGGAGAATTCCACATCTTCAGGCTGTTTAGATAGTCGATCGTGGAATCAAAGTGCAAACGTACCGTCCACTTCAAACACGTATCAAAACTTTTCCGGTTTCTATCCGAATATTGATTACCTTGGCTCAAATATACAACAACAATTGGTAGGTTTAAAGCATTTTTATAAGAATTTTCAAACAAATTTTGTGTCCGTTTTTAACTGGAGCTTTAAATCTGGTTGAAATTCAATTAAAAATTGGTCAATTTCTGCTATTGAAAAATCATTCATTTGCTCTAGCACGAGAATGCACTGGAAAATCCCTGGATGAAGCGTGAGGAGAATTGGTTTTACAACACACCGAACTGGGACACACAGAAAAAATAATAATTCCAATAATTACTAGCTGTGACAACAATCACTAAATCCGGTACACATATCGAACACAAAATAATTGTCTTTACATTCAATCGTTTCACTTTATTACCAAAGCTTAAGCAGATAGATACAAAATGTAAAGTGTAAAAAAAGACGTCGAAAGAAGAATGACAACGATCACAATAAATTAATAACGAAAAATAGAAACAAAGTTCATATATTCATTGGTATAATAATTGTCTCTGTATTGGAAACATGTATTATTACAGATTCTTTTTCACTTATTTGTTCGGAATGATTTTTGCGATGGATTTGTATTTGGGTTAATTATGCGAAAACACAATCAATCGATTGGTCGATGTTCATTTTTGAGAGTTATTGCTCTTTGGTAAGTCACTGTATAGCAGAGCACCGATAGATACTCCTATAGAATATGCGAACGGCACTACTATAATTATAGTATCAACATTAAATTAGAACGAATCAATTATGGCATTTGATGATGATTATTGAAAGAAATTGAATTTTGATTGCATTTCGAGTAGCAAAAACACTGGTTCATTATACTATTTCTTATTGGCTGGATTATGCGTGAGACTCCGATGATGAAGATTTGCGTAATCGAAGTTCTCCACTCTCGCCAAGGCCGGACAGTTCTTCAATATCGTCGCTGTCATCTTCGAGTGATCGATGCAACGGTTTTTCCTCAATAATGCTCATATCTTCATCATCTTCAAACGATTTCTCGTCGATGGTTGTTGTGGAAATGTCGCGTGATATTCCTTCCGATCGTTTGCGACGACTTTCTTCTGCACGATCCCGAAGACGTTTTCTTGTCTCTTCCATCCATACGGAATCAGACCAGTGATACCAGCTCAACAAACTGACCGTCATGATGAAGAACAGATTTGCCCCAATACCTAAAATAGATTGACGTTAATGTTCAATTCGAAATAAATACTACTTGAATAGGCAGAGCATTTCTATGAAATATCGATTTTAAACTCATTACTATTAAGGAAATTCATGCGTTAAGTGTAGCGTCATTAGCCCTAATCTCAACATTCATTCTCACCTATTGAAGCAGAGAGTATTGGCCAATGAAACATAATGTAGCGCAATCCAGAGAAGTGGGCCGTTATGTGCAGTGTAACCGAATAGAATTGGATTTGTCTCGATTGGATTTCCACAAACACATCGGTCACTGGATTCTCTAAATCGTCTTCGTAGCTGGAAAACACTTCAACGGGAATTTGTTGAGTTTCTTCCTTGAAACCGAAAATAATCAACGGGCTCATCACGAAAGTCGATATTGTACGCGCCAAATCGGACCGGTAATGGAGCATGGCCGAGCGGCAAGCATGATTTCGCAGTTGAGTTCGTTGGTCGCGCATTTCGGCGCAAACCATAAACATGCCTAGCCGTAGATTTTGCTCACTCTCCGGCATATCGATGTTCACTGAGATTCGATACTGTTGACCAACCATGAGCAGTTGCTGTTTTCGTGTCAACAGCACATGGGCCTGTGGAAATGAACATGGACCGATGATATCTTCACAAGGCCTGGAAATGAAATACAGAACATCGATTTAGGGATTGACTGTGATTTAACGTCTACAAAAGTAATTACAAATTCCAATTCAATCTCTTGAACTGATTTCTCAATCCAAAAAAAAGTAAAGCTAACAATTTCAACGGTTTACCCACTTGAATTGCATATAAACGGGACGAATGTGAGCGATGGCCGGCATATACGTGTAATAGAATGCAATGTACATGAAAACAGCCATCCAAATAATAACAGCGGCTGCTAATGCGAGAATGCTGAGCTTAATCGCGATTTCGCGAGCCGAAATTACACCTTGTTTTGTGCGATTTTTGTAATCATCGTACGTGTGTTGTGTTCGATCCAACACGGGCTGAATTATATAACCGCGTAACAATTCAAATGGCAATGCCAAGATCATTGTAATTAATCCCATTTTGTTACAACAATTTTCGTAATAAATCTTATCAGATCACAACTAATCGATTTGTTTATATTTCTGAATCAACCAACTAATCGCACTTGCAACTATAGACTAAATAAATATTACACAACAATCGTCTGTTGAGTCAGTACAGACTTCATGTTACGCTCTGTAAAATAGAAATAAATCGATTGATAACGTTTCGACGGTGCAAGACAAATTCTTAGAATGAAATTGAAGTTCACATTTGTTATCGTTAAACGAAAGAATGAGTGGAACAACACACAACTAATCTATATTTGGAATTGTTTTGTTGAGATCAAAGTTCAATAGAATTGACTCTGAGTTTGTCAACTGATGAACAAGCCAGCTAAGCATTTATCTTCAATTATTTTTTTTTTTTCCATAAATCCACTGTCAGATAATAAGTGAACACACACTTTGGATTTTCGCGTTTTGTTTTGATTTTTCTGTTCTTGATGCGGAGAATGCAGTTTTTTGACGTTTCAAATGACAATTCGAAAATTGTGAACAGACAACATAACCTCACTCTTCCCGGTGTGTTCTATAAGAAAACGTACCGAATGTTTCTTGTTGAAAATGGATCGAAAAATTCATTTGAAAACTTGGTTCAGAGCAAGTGTTGTGTTTTTTTGGGAATATTTTAATCCATGATATGGTCCATTGTTCTTTTTTCAGTCGAAATTTGCGAAAATTCGCTTCTTTTTGTTTTCTTCAATACTTAACCGAAATTATTCAAACTTTTTTTGCACTTCTGACATTTCAATGAAATTCGAACATGAATGTTTACTCAACAGCAGAGTTCGAATCATAAAAGCACGGCTGATATCATTTATTGAATCAGATGTCTAGTAAAATTGTTAACCATTTGATAACAAGAGGATTTTGTTCGTCGAAAATGGCAAACTCATTGGGAGAAATTGTGGAAAAATTAAACAGTTTTGCAGCCGTAAAAACAGCTGAAAGTTGGGATAATGTTGGTCTGCTCATTGAGCCGGCTACACCTACGTATGTATAAATAAAGTCCACTAGAATTGATTTGAAATATGGATTTATTCACAAATTTGCACTATATTCAATTTGAAAACAATAAAAAGTTCATTCATTTTTAGGCCCATCCAGAAGATTATCTTGACGAATGATCTAACGGAGAAAGTTCTACATGAAGCTGTTGAAAAGAAATCAAATCTGATTATATCGTATCATCCGCCAATTTTCAGCGGACTGAAAAGCATTACACAAAAGTATTTTCATTTGTTTGTATGATATTTGCTCAAGGTTAACGAATTTTTTTTCGGTAGGTCATGGAAAACTCGATTGGTGTCAGTCTGTCTTGAGAATCGTATTGCTTTGTACTCGCCACACACATCATGGGTAATTGAAAATTCTTGTATAAATCAGTTGAAAATCAGAACATAGTGTGATTTCTTTCCATTTGAACATAGGACAATAATCGTGGAGCGATTGGAGATTGGCTTGCGCGTGCTTTGCCACATAAAGAATCGCAGATTATTCTGCCATCAGCTGAAAATAGTAACATCGGCACCGGACGTGTTGCTCAGATTGAGTCATCAGCACCAATTACATTGGCTGACGCAATTGAACGTGTGAAAAAACACACTGGAATCAAAACGGTTCAAGTTGCGATTGGAGCTAACAAAACCTTGGATTCTGTTGTCGAATCGTTCGCTGTCTGCCCAGGGTCTGGGAGCAGCGTTTTGAAAGGCGTTCCAGTCGATTTGTACATTTCAGGTACATTCTTGCTTGCACTTATTTTTCGACAAAAGAAGTCAAAGCCATTTCTTGCCACGAGCAACTTGATATTGAGCTCTGAAGACAGATTTTGTTTCTTCAATTTAATGACAAAATCTGTGAGCATTTTCATTTCTCAAACAAAGCAACATGTTTAATTTGAAATTTTCAATTTTTCATAGGTGAAATGTCACATCATGACGTGCTCGAAGCAGTTCACAACAATGTCAGCGTGATTCTATGCAACCATAGCAACTCGGAACGTGGCTATTTGAC